TGTAAATAGATTTCTCGTGTGATTGATACAGGACTGTTAAAAAATGTAAGAAAGTAAAACAATTTTTCTTTTTCTCTCTCTAAAAGTGGAGAGGGGCCTGTTGAAGCGGGGAGTTTAATATTATATATTATTGTAATTGAAAGATTAAATTAAAAAGTATTTTGTATTTCAAATAAAAACTTAAAAGTATTTTGTATTTTGTATTTCAAATCGAAAGGTTGAAAGTATTTTGTATTTTGTATTTCAAATCAAAAGATTGAAAGTATTTTATATTTTGTAATTCAAATACTAAGATTCCTAGTATTTTGTATTTTGTATTTTAAATACTTTAATGGTGTATTTTGCCCAGCCCTGTGTACAACACAGTACCCTCTAAACAGCTTTTAAATAAAGTTACCTATTTACTCACAAAAAAATCTCAAACTTAGGTATCATTTTAAGGCCTCAGTGATGAGACCCCTTAAGCTAGCCTGCTATCAAAATTCGAATTCCAAAATAGGAAGAAAATGTATAACTTTACAGAATAAGAAAATGATATGGTAATCTTGGAAAATACTTGCCAGGAGCATTAAATCTGTCGATAGCTTCTTGACGCTGCGCACCCGTTATATTGCCGTCTATTCTTTCGTACTTGTATCCTTCGCCCTCCAAATAATCCTCGAGGATATCCAACATCTTCGTCATTTGAGAGAATATGAGAACTCGATGCCCGTCGTCTCGCAGTTTCTTAAGCATTTTACTCAACAGAACCAATTTGCCTGCCGCTTTAATCAGAGCCGACGTCTCGTAACTTCCGTTCGGCCCGGTCGGCGCCTCTTGCGACGCGGCGGGGAACAAATACGGGTGATTGCAGCATTTCTTGAGATCCATCATTATATTTAACAATGACACTTGCTGACCACCTCCCTTCGGATTGAGAGCCTCGAAGTTTCTCGTCAGTATGTACTTGTAATATTTCTTCTGCATCGGCGACAATTCAACACGTACGATAAATTCGGATTTGCTAGGCATGTTCTATAAAGAAATATACTTGTTGTAACACGTTAAAATGTAATAATTAATTAAAAGGGATGATTGTATTTTTAGAGATATAATCTCTCTCTGAAACATTCTCAAATAGTCGAGACTGTGAAGATTTTCGTATTGCGGCAACACAATCTCTGCACAGACGATTACCAACCTTCAATACGTCAGCTTTCAATCTCCTCAGCATGTGCGGACCGAGCATCTCGTGTAGCTTCTTAACTTGATCTTCCTTCGAGATGTCCGCGAATTCGTTTTGGAACGCCGCTAGATCGTTGAATTTGTCGCGACATAAGAAATTCAACAGGTGGAACAATTCCTCCAAATTGTTTTGCAGCGGGGTACCAGTTAGCAAAAGTTTATACGCAATGTTGTAGGATGCCAGTAATCTGAAGAACTTGGACTGATTGGACTTCAATCTGTGAGCTTCGTCCACGACTAATACGGCCCAATCGATGGAGCCTAAACACGCCGAGTCTATCGAGATGAGCTCGTAGCTCGTGAGCAAGACGTTGAACTTGATCGAGGACGACCGGATCTTGGAGGCGCGTCCGCTACGCACGGCACCCTCTTCGAACGACAATTCATTTTCACGAATCACGATACGGCTGTCCTTGTCGCCTGAATAAAAGCAGAATATTTTACCATTAATATATGTATCTCTCGAATGCACGCGACAAAAATTTTCATAACAAAAAAAAGAAGACGATACCAACCCACGTAAGTAACGCAGTAGAAGTCAGGTGCCCAGGTCTCGAATTCACGCTCCCAATTGATGATGGTGGACAAAGGAACGGAGACCAAAAAGGGCCCTTTGCAATGGCCTTCTTTGTACAAGGAATACAAGAATGTTATGGTCTGAATGGTTTTTCCCAGGCCCATCTCGTCGGCCAAAATCGTGTCTATGCCTTGGCCCCATGAATATCTCAACCAATTTAGACCCTGTAAATTAAGAGTTGTGTACAAATGTAATGCGAATATAAAAAAGTTCGAAAAGACGGAATTTTAAGGAATCTCACCACCCCTGAGGTTTTAGAATAATATCTTAAGTTTGGGATTTTTTTGTGGTAAATGGATAACTTTATTTAAAATCAGCTTAGAGGACATTATATTGTACATATATAAGAAACCAAAAAAATATTTTTTTATTTTTCTTATGTCCAAAATGGCGGCGTACTGGCCTACACTTGTGGAAACCCTTTTTTTTCTGTCAAGTTCAATTTTTCTCAAAGTGGCAGCTATTTTACGAGACACTTGTATTGACAAAAATACAAACTTTTCGTAAAAATAGCTGCCATTTCGAGAAAAATCAATATTTTATGATAATTTTTAAAATAATTTTTTATCATAATTTTTAAAAAATCCCTACGTACTTCTATAGCCTTTAATATGTAGATAATGAAAATTCTTTGTGTTTTGCTCAAGGTCAAACTGTGTGCTTGGAATCCTGTACACCGATTTAAAAAAATAGAAAAAAAAGGAATTCCACAGGTAGGCCAGTACGTCGCTATTTTGTACATAAAAAAAAATAAAAAAGTATTTTTTTCTAATTTCTTGTATATGTACAACAATATCCTCTAAGCAGATTTCAAATAAAGTTATCTATTTACCCATACAAAAATCTCAAACTTAGATATCATTTTGAGACTCTAAGTGTCATGACCCCTTAAGAGTCCATTCTACCTTGCAGCCCGAAAAAGAAGGTAATTTTTGGGATTTTTTTCGGGAAAAGTGATCAAGATCACATACTTTATTGTGTTTACATCTTATTTGTTGTGTTTTTTTCTTAAATTTGTAATTTTCTGAAGTCAGTTTGTTGACTGTAAGTCTATGCAAAGTTCCAGTGAAGAAGCCTTTTCGACTTTGAACATGGTGCCATGGTGGAAATACTGCAGGTCGCACCAGTCATGTAAAATAGTTAAACCAACGATTTTTCTGTTCAAAAAGAATGTCTCTATGGAATAGACCACGATAATTGATCTTGCATGAAAATTAACAAAATGGCGGCCATTTGAAAAAAAAGTTCGATTTTTGGCCTTAAATTTTGCTCTTATTTTTGCGATAAAAAAAAATATTATTGATATAATCGTAGTCTAATTCTATACAGACATTCTTTTTGAACACGAAAATCGTTGGTTTAACTGTTTCAGATGACTGATGCGACCTACAGTACTTCCCCCATGGCGCCATATTCAAGTTTCTTCACCGGAACTTTGCACAGACTTAGAGTCAACAAATTGACTTTAAAACATTACAAATTAAAGAGAAGAGTACAAATAAAATGTAAAAACAATGAAGTGTGATCTTGATCACATTTCTTTCGTTTTCGAGCCACGAGATAGAATGGACCCTTAATATAACTCAAAAATTTACCTCTAATTGATAATGATGCAACTGCATTCCGGTTAGATCCAAGTACTCTGGCTGTCTCTCGTATTTCTTCTTGAGATCCGTCGTGGGTTTGTCCGGCGGTGGTGTGTAACGTTTCGGCGTTCTCTCCTCGTCGTCGATCAGCTCGCGCGTTTTGGATTTCTTGCCTTTACCTGGATTGCATTTTCACACTTCGTTTACAAGGGGGCACTTGGCGCGAGTAATGAAAAATTTGAATCGCAAGTAGCCTTCTCGCTCTCACCTTTCTTCCCTTTACGCGACGAACTGCCGTCGCAACAGTTGGCGGCTCTGAGATCCAGGTAGTATTCTATAGCCTGCTTCAAGCCGGGGATATCCGCGTGCTCGTCCTCCCACGTTGCCTGGTCGTAGCCGAGCTCCCGCCACTTGACAAGATACGTGGCCCGGCCGTCTCTCTGCAATCGATGATTGATCACCCTGTGAACCACCATCCACTCCGGACGTACACCGTAACGATAGAAACGCTCCTCCAAATTGTAATCGTCCCTATTGGTGGCGCCGTCCTGCTCCTTCAAACGCTTCACACGAGTGTCACTTTCGTCCAACGGTTCCTCCAATTTCGGTGGTTCGTCCATATCATATTTACGATAGTAATTCCTAATCGCACACAAAAATGTCATGTTATATAGTTACAATATACAATTTACATGTACAGAATGGGGGTACTCAAATTTTGTAAAAGAATTCCCTGAAAAATCCTGGATTTTCCAGGAATTTTATTAAAAATTCCAGGTAAGATTAGAGAATTTTTCAATACAGCTTTAAAATAAATTAGACACTAAAAGTTCTAAGGAGGATGTCTCGTTTAGAACGCCGAAAAATAGGTAATTTTCGCGAATTTTTTAAATAAAGAAAAGTAAAGTTGATCTTTCCATAACTGTACGGATACTTTACTGAATACTTATACAAAAAAAATTTTTTTATTTAAAAAATTTGAGATAACGTCATAGCAAATAAGTGATTAAAACGCCTCGCTACTGGAGTTACAGAATGGCAGGCAAAATAGAGCCGGTAATTTCTGTCCGAAACAAAAAAAAGCAAAAATATTTTTAATTTGTATATAATTGTATAGTCGATGAACCAAGAACATGTTTAAAAAGTGTAAAACTTTTAGGACTTTAAAGAAAAAGTGACACTTATGAAAAAAAATGTTTACTTTCTTTGTGCAATAAAAATTGTTTAAATTAACTTTTTTAAACACGTTCTTAGTTCATTTAGAATGGTTGACAATAATTTAAATAAAGAACTTTAAATGAAGTCGATACGTCAAATAGTTTTTTCTATTTCGCCCGCCAATTTGTAGCTCCAGTAGCGAGGCGTTTTTAATCACTTATTTGCCATGACGTTATTATCTTCAATTTTTTAAAAATTTTGTTTGTATAATATAAGTATCCAGTAAAGTATCCGTGCAGTTATGGAAAGATCGATTTTACTTTATTAAAAAAAATTCGCGAAAATCACCTATTTTTCAGTCCTAAATCAGATGCCTCCCTCAATCTTCTCATACGTACAATAATTGCATCTCCATGCAAAATTTTTCGAACGTAACGAAAGAAATTTTGTATGGAAATGTAACATACATATGAAGATTAAATTGTTTCAAGTTCTGCGTTAATAGTCTTTTAATGCTTGATTTATTATTTCCGGATTTTTTAGATTGAAGAGTTTATGTAGTACATGTCAATTTTAAAATAAATTAACTTTCAATATCAGGGGCCCCCGATATGTGGCCACGTTTACTTTGTAAAGGGATAAAATTAAATTTAAAAGTAAAAATCAAAAAATTTCCCGATTACCAGTAATTTCCATGATTTTTAAGGGTAAAAATGAAATTTCCCGAGAATTCCAGGTTTTCCCGGTAGTACCCACCCTGATGTACGTAAAATTACGCGAGTGATATTGTTGCTATCAGAAGATTCATACCTGTACATAAGAGGATGAAAAACGTCAAGCTGCAGCTCTGTTATCCAATCGCAATGCCAGTAAGACATGTCGGCCCACTTGACAAAGAATTCACGCATCTTTCTTTGCTTAGGCGCAGCCTTGCTCGTGGATGGTTCCTCCGATGGAGTATCTGAGCACTCTTTCCATCTCCAGGTTAATATTTTTGCAACTAAAAACAGAGATTTAATTACAAGGATAAACCATATATTTACGCGCATCTTGAAATGTCGTCTTCACTACACAATATAATACAATAAATAAAATTACTCGTAATAAATATTCTATATTCTATATTCTGCTGATAACGACGTTACCTCTTCCTCTTAACGGTGGGCAAGAGCATCTAGGGCATTTCCAGTCGCCGTCGGGGATCTCCGATAGTGGTGGGTTCAGACAGTGTGTGTGATATGCGCTCGTACAGCTGTCGCAGCACAGCAATTCCCCGCCGTCCTTGCACACTCTGCAGAACTCCATGTGCTCGTCGTCGTCCTCCGCCGCGCCTGGCGATACAAAAACACAATATATAGTTATCGTCCGCTGGACGACGAGCTGGAGACTCGTTTTAGAAGAGGAGCGGAGGAGAGTCGAGGCCGGTATCGGGGAGGGTACGGGTACCTGCAATACCTTCTCCTTCGCAATGGGCACAGCTCCACTTCCCCTCGGGTGTCTCCTCCATCTCGGGCTCTAGGCACACCAAATGGTATGCTCTAGGGCACGTGTCGCACAATATAATCTCGCCGCCTTGTTGACACACCTCGCAGTAGTCCTGATGGTCAGTCTATAGAGAGCAAAGGAAAAACAGAGAAAAACCGAAAAATAATTATTCCGCTTTGAACGAAGGTGAAGTAATTTACTGCATGACGGAAAGGGTGTATCGATCGAAATTAAGATACGGATAATTAAGCATATATTTAAGCATATATTTAAAGCGTGTCGCATAAAAAGGAATTTATGCAGCTTTAAACATTGCAAGAAACGTCTATAATTATTTTTTAAGGCAGAGTCAGACAACGTAGCATATGCGTTCTTGCGAATTTCTCAAAATGATTCCACCTACTGCGTAGATTTTCACACTGCCGAAACCCTTTTGAATTTTGCACATTTTTGTTATAAAAAAAACGCGTCATATTTCCCTCCCGGCTGAGTTTAAAAAATTTGTCCCGTTAGTTGCCAAAGATAGCTCTACATTGGAAAGATTTATTATATGCAAATATTTAAAATGGAAATTATAAAAAGAATCGCAGCTGCGATAATATGTAATATTAAACAAGCACAATGATTAGACATGCGTCGACGAGCAAAATTATAAACGAAATCTCCAAGCCTTTAGTATGAAGAAAATAATTATTATATGTGTGACAAGTCCATGATCGCAAGCATGTTTTAAAAACAATAATGAACGCATAAGCGGATGCTGCTTAACTCTACCTGGAGACCTTCCTCTCCATCCGGGAACTTGGAGGTTGTCTTTGTCTTCTTCTTCTTTTTAGTCTTGTTGCCAATTTTGGTCTTCGCCTTTCTGCGAACCGGTGGCTCGGCCGGCGGTTCCACCCCACTCTCCTCGACGGTGCCCTTGCTAGCCTCGGCACCGGGAGTCTCCTCCGCGTCGGCCAACATTTGCTCGAACTCCATGTCCGAGTCCGCCGCAGAACCGGCGGCACTACCCTCCGCTTCCTCGTCCTGGGCAAATTCAACAGAGCCGATGTAACCCTTCATGGTCGCGCTTTACAGTCACACGTGTGTCATACTGGGACAAAATGACCCGAGCTATTTTTTTTTAAAGTGTTATCAAATCAACAGTAGTTTGTTAATTATTAACTTTAAAAAATTACGGTATACAGGGTGTCCCGAAATTCGCGAATCAAAAGATTATAGCAAGACTTCGAAAAATTAAGTAAAAAAAGTTTTTTATTTTAAGCAGTAATTTTTTAGATATAAAAGTTTAAATTTAGCCAATTATAGATTACGATTAAACGCGGAAACATGTCCGTGTCGATAGTGTTGGTAGTTCGCGCACTTCACGCGCGTAATCTATAATTGGCTAAATTTAAACTCTTACGTCTCAAAAGTTACTGCTTAAAGTAAAAATTTACAAATAATTTTCTTACTTAATTTCTCGAAGACTTTCTTGCTACATTTTGATTCGCGAATTTCGGGACACCCTGTATAATTTCAACCTTCGAGAAAATAGAATAGCGTTTTAGTGAAAAAAATTTAATCTTAACATTAAAAAAAAAATCATAAACATATTACTTAAAAAAAAATGAGTTTTTTTATTTAAAAAATCATAACTTTTTAATATTTTTGAATAAAATTTTAGCCTAATACTCTTGATATGATGTACTTTTAAGAAAAAAAAAAAGTATAATTATACGTGTTGCAAAAAAAAGTATTTATTTTGAAGATTTCTGAAATTTCTCGGGTCATTTCGACCCAGTGTGGCCATAAAGGGCTAAAATAAAAATCGATTTATGCCAGGAATCGATTCAAACCGGAAGGGTCGCACATACCGAACTGCCTCGTTTACGCTTTCCAAGCTTGATCTTGAGCGTCGGTACTTTCGACGCCTTCTTCCCTTTCTTCGCTCTTGAACCTCGCGACTTTCTCTTTCTATCACTGTCCTCGTCGTCCTCCTCCTCCTCCTCGGCCTCCTGCATAGCGCCGCTCCGATTAGCTCTGGCGTTTCTACTGTCGTCGTCCACATTCGTGGACGACACGTCCGCGTCTGGTTGCGTGTGCGGATTCAATTCGGAGAAGTCGCGCCACTTGGCCGCCACCAGCATCATAAGTTTCGACATTGGGACCTAAGAACGTTCGAGAACGAGGTTTGTTTAAGTGAAAAAAATATGTAATATCAGAGGACGGATTGTCATTGCAACGCACCTTTGGATTCTCTTTCGCCAGGAGCGGTCGGACGTGTTGTTGGAACAGCTTGTACGTTGTCAAGTTCTGGAAATCAGCGTCGGAATACTCAATCTGCACGTCCGTCAGACCGAATGTATTGCACACTTCTTCGATCGTCGGCATGCCCGTTGTAGGCTCCTGGCTCTGAGTGGTCGGCGTGTTGTGGCTGGAGGACTTTCTGGACGACGACTTTCGGCTCTTCCTGTTCACCGCGTAGTCGCTATCCTCACCGGCCGCGTCACCGCCGCCGCCACCACCCGCCGCCTCACCGCCGCCGAAGTCGCTCTCCTGAAATTTCACGTGAAACGATTAGTGCCGTGTACGAACACACCGCTCCAAACTGAACGCGAAGACAACGATATTATGTATATCGTTGCGTAAACGAGCGAACGTGTGTATTATGCAACTGTGTCTCGCTTACATCCCCAGAATCGGATTTTTTCTTTTTCTTCTTTTTCTTCCCCTTCTTATCCTCGCTACGTGCTTTTCGCTTCTTTCCCTTCTTCTTCTTTCGCTCCTCCGGCTCGTAATCGTCATCTTCCTCCTGCAAAGAATAATTTTTGTTCTTAAAATTCCTGGAATCATCGAGTACTAAAGTATTCAGATCGTTATCGAGGTGTCGTCATAAAGGTATAATAAGATGGCAGCGTACATGACACTCGACAGCTATGAATTTTAAGTATTGTCAAAGTAAGACTGTCAGGGAATGGAAGGTTACTTTTTAACTAGTTATCGTTACTGTGGTTACTAATTTTTGAAAATAACTCGTTACCGTTACTTAAAAAAATAACGATTCGTTACTTTTTTAATGCCGAAACAAGATCAGTCTAAATAATTTAAGATGCAATTATTTGTTTTAATATTAATAAAAGCAACAATGTGACACTAGACTGATATTTAAAGTACAACTAGGAAAATGAAAGCCTTTTCGATACGAGCTAGAGCTCTCAGCTTCGTGCTCAATATTTCAAAATAAATTTATATATAGGTACATATTCAATTTTACAAACTACGTGTCAATTAAATTTTCAATCTTGAAACACATTTCAGCTGAGATTTTTCACAATAAATTTTTTAAAATATTCTAAGAGGCATATAACATAAAAATATCCTTATTAAATTACTTGTCAATTTAATTTGTGATATTGATTGACTTATGGCATTCTTGAGATGTCATAAACCAAACACAGAGCCATATTAATATTTTAAGACATTATTTAAAACAGTCTTAAAATAATAGTAAACTATGTGAATACCAGCTAAAAATTGACGATTGAATATATACATACAAAAATTTTGTCATAAATACAGAAAGTTCAGAATACAAAAAGTAACGATAAAAGTAACTGTATAATACGTTACTGTTACTGAAAAAATGTAACTACGTCACTGTTGCAGTTATCAAAAAAATAAAATAACGCCGTTACCAATCTGTTACCTTAAAAAAAAGTAACTGTAACAGTAATGGCGTTACAAGTAACGAGTTACTTCCAATCCCTGGTCACTAAGACTTACTAGTCTTTGAGATTCTTCAGCATCAGATGACCCATCTACTTGCTGGCCAACAGTCGATATCTGCCCTCCAGTCTCGTCCATGTCATCCTCTCCTAAAAGAAAAATTACATTTATTTCCAAATTTATCATCGTAAAGTCTATTTTCTATCTTAGTAATTAGTCTCATTTGTTGTATTTCCATCTGCGTAAAGAAAATTTTGCACGGATTTTACTTCTTTAAAGATAAAAGGAGTCGTTAAACCGATCGATTTTAACAAAACAGCCTTGAAAATAGAATAACGTAATTGACTTGGAGCTTAATTTTTTCCCCTCGTTAAAAATATCCGTGTTTTTATTTCACTGCATTAATTTCACAAAATTTCCTTCGCATCGAATGCAATTCCTCCTCACAACCTGCACTCTCGTACCTTACGAATAATCGAGTCGTAAACTTTCGAACCAAGTTCCGAGCAACGATCCGAGATTGACTGAATTAAATGGTACACCGATGTGAAATCGATTAAATTTGCATAAGCGAATAACTATTGCGCTCCAGCAAATTTCTCACTGAATCTCACTGAGCCTCGGACTCTCGCACACAAAGGCACGCGACAGCGGGCCGAGTTCAATCGCACTCTCGACGCGGCGGCGGCGTATCCCTTAACTTAACAATGTACTTCACGACGAGGCGCGCGGAGACGAGATTCCTGGGCACGTTCGCAGGTGTGTATCGTAAACGAATGAAGGTGAGAGAGAGAGACGGCGACGGCGACGACGTCGTGCGCGAGATCCGCGAGTCGGCGGCGGCGACGGCGCCGGTCTGGGAAGCCTCACCACTTCCTCGCGGGAGCGCGAACTTTTTTTCTCCTCCGCTAATCAACGTTCCGCGAGTGCCTCATCGCGAGTGTACATCCGCCATTTTCTTTAATAGGGCCATACGTACGCTACGTACATTTGACATACGGGCGCGCGTACGCGCCGCGCGCGCGCGCACGTGTGTGTGTGTGTGTGTGTGTGTGGCGCGCGCGCGCACATTTACGTGTGTGTGTGTGTGTGCATATTTACGTGTGTGTGTGTGTGTGGTGTGCACATTTACGTGTGTGTGTGTGTGTGTGTGTGTGCATATTTACGTGTGTGTGTGTGTGTGTATTTACGCCACGCGCATAGTTGCGCGCGCGCGCGCGCACCGTCGGCGCGCTTAATTTCCGCCTGACGCGGCTCGGTTACACGATTCTACCGAAGGACACGAGATCCAATCCGATCGCGAAATCCGTTCACTCGCGAACGAACTTTTCTTGTCCTGGGCCGCCACCGCCGCGGCGGCGGCGGAGGAGGTTAGACGCCGGCTGGATCGGCGCGCGCGCGCGCGCGCGCGCGCGCGTGGCCCACCTGCGTGCGTGCGTGCGTGCGTGCACACAGCGACGCGCGAGTACGTGAAACGCGGATCCATAACTCGCGTTTTTTTTTCTTCCCTTCTTTCACGCGCGGACGCGCGTCGTAACATGGCGCAAATGCAATTATGCCCCCGTCGATTGGGGAATCGCGCTCGCGGTCTGCCTCGAGAGCGGGATGTCAAATTTTTTTTTTTTTTTTTTTT